CTAACAACAACCCCACCACAACCCCATCTAGCCACAACCCCATCTAACAACAACCCACCACAACCCCATCTAACCACAACCCCATCTAGCCACAACCCCATCTAACCACAACCCCATCTAGCCACAACCCCATCTAACCACAACCCCATCTAGCCACAACCCCACCACAACCCCATCTAACCACAACCCCATCTAGCCACAACCCCATCTACCCACAACCCCACCACAACCCCATCTAGCCACAACCCCATCTAACAACAACCCCACCAAAACCCCATCTAACCACAACCCCATCTAACCACAACCCCATCTAGCCACAACCCCACCACAACCCAATCTAACCACAACCCCACCACAACCCCATCTAACCACAACCCCATCTAACCACAACCCCACCACAACCCCATCTAACCACAACCCCACCACAACCCCATCTAACCACAACCCCATCTAGCCACAACCCCACCACAACCCAATCTAACCACAACCCCACCACAACCCCATCTAGCCACAACCCCATCTAACCACAACCCCACCACAACCCCATCTAGCCACAACCCCACCACAACCCCATCTAACCACAACCCCATCTAACCACAACCCCATCTAGCAACAACCCCATCTAACCACAACCCCATCTAACCACAACCCCATCTAACCACAACCCCACCACAACCCCATCTAACCACAACCCCATCTAGCCACAACCCCATCTAGCAACAACCCCATCTAACCACAACCCCATCTAGCCACAACCCCACCACAACCCCATCTAACCACAACCCCATCTAACCACAACCCCATCTAACCACAACCCCATCTAACCACAACCCCATCTAACCACAACCCCATCTAACCACAACCCCATCTAACCACAACCCCACCACAACCCCATCTAACCACAACCCCATCTAACCACAACCCCATCTAGCCACAACCCCATCTAACCACAACCCCACCACAACCCCACCACAACCCCATCTAACCACAACCCCATCTAACCACAACCCCATCTAACCACAACCCCATCTAACCACAACCCCATCTAACCACAACCCCACTACAACCCCATCTAACCACAAACCCATCTAACCACAACCCCGCCACAACCCCATCTAACCACAACCCCATCTAACCACAACCCCACCACAACCCCATCTAACCACAACCCCATCTAACCACAACCCCACCACAACCCCATCTAACCACAACCCCATCTAACCACAACCCCATCTAACCACAACCCCACCACAACCCCATCTAACCACAACCCCATCTAACCACAACCCCATCTAACAACAACCCCACCACAACCCCATCTAGCCACAACCCCATCTAACCACAACCCCATCTAACAACAACCCCACCACAACCCCATCTAGCCACAACCCCATCTAACAACAACCCACCACAACCCCATCTAACCACAACCCAATCTAGCCACAACCCCATCTAACCACAACCCCATCTAGCCACAACCCCATCTAACCACAACCCCATCTAGCCACAACCCCACCACAACCCCATCTAACCACAACCCCATCTAACCACAACCCCATCTAACCACAACCCCACCACAACCCCATCTAACCACAACCCCATCTAACCACAACCCCATCTAACCACAACCCCATCTAACCACAACCCCATCTAACCACAACCCCATCTAACCACAACCCCATCTAACAACAACCCCACCACAACCCCATCTAGCCACAACCACATCTAACCACAACCCCATCTAACAACAACCCCACCACAACCCCATCTAGCCACAACCCCATCTAACAACAACCCACCACAACCCCATCTAACCACAACCCCATCTAGCCACAACCCCATCTAACCACAACCCCATCTAGCCACAACCCCATCTAACCACAACCCCATCTAGCCACAACCCCACCACAACCCCATCTAACCACAACCCCATCTAGCCACAACCCCATCTACCCACAACCCCACCACAACCCCATCTAGCCACAACCCCATCTAACAACAACCCCACCAAAACCCCATCTAACCACAACCCCATCTAACCACAACCCCATCTAGCCACAACCCCACCACAACCCAATCTAACCACAACCCCACCACAACCCCATCTAACCACAACCCCATCTAACCACAACCCCACCACAACCCCATCTAACCACAACCCCATCTAGCCACAACCCCACCACAACCCAATCTAACCACAACCCCACCACAACCCCATCTAGCCACAACCCCATCTAACCACAACCCCACCACAACCCCATCTAGCCACAACCCCACCACAACCCCATCTAACCACAACCCCATCTAACCACAACCCCATCTAACCACAACCCCATCTAACCACAACCCCATCTAACCACAACCCCATCTAACCACAACCCCATCTAGCCACAACCCCACCACAACCCCATCTAACCACAACCCCATTTAACCACAACCCCATCTAGCCACAACCCCATCTAGCCACAACCCCACCACAACCCCATCTAACCACAACCCCACCACAACCCCATCTAACCACAACCCCATCTAACCACAACCCCACCACAACCCCATCTAACCACAACCCCATCTAGCCACAACCCCATCTAGCAACAACCCCATCTAACCACAACCCCATCTAGCCACAACCCCATCTAGCCACAACCCCATCTAACCACAACCCCATCTAACCACAACCCCACCACAACCCCATCTAGCCACAACCCCATCTAGCCACAACCCCATCTAGCAACAACCCCATCTAACCACAACCCCATCTAGCCACAACCCCATCTAACCACAACCCCATCTAACCACAACCCCATATAATCACAACCCCATCTAACCACAACCCCATCTAACCACAACCCCATCTAACCACAACCCCACCACAACCCCATCTAACCACAACCCCACCACAACCCCATCTAGCCACAACCCCACCACAACCCCATCTAACCACAACCCCATCTAACCACAACCCCATCTAACCACAACCCCATCTAACCACAACCCCACCACAACCCCATCTAACCACAACCCCATCTAACCACAACCCCACCACAACCCCATCTAACCACAACCCCATCTAACCACAACCCCACCACAACCCCATCTAACCACAACCCCATCTAGCCACAACCCCATCTAGCAACAACCCCATCTAACCACAACCCCATCTAACCACAACCCCACCACAACCCCATCTAACCACAACCCCATCTAGCCACAACCCCATCTAGCAACAACCCCATCTAACCACAACCCCATCTAGCCACAACCCCACCACAACCCCATCTAACCACAACCCCATCACAACCCCATCTAACCACAACCCCATCTAACCACAACCCCACCACAACCCCATCTAACCACAACCCCATCTAACCACAACCCCACCACAACCCCATCTAACCACAACCCCATCTAACCACAACCCCACCACAACCCCATCTAACCACAACCCCATTTAGCCCCAACCCCGCAACCACATTTAGACAACCCCATCTCGCCACAACACCATCTAACAACAATTTCTAAGCACAACATCATTACGTAAATCAAACACATAAGTGAATGTAAATGACTATGTATTGCTTTGTCCACAGGCTAAAGCTTTTAGATTTATTTGATGACGTGGGAGAAAAAACCTCGAACCCAACGCGTAATTTAAAACCGTTCAGACTCGGCCAATGGATTGTTAGCGTGACGAAGGTCTGCGCATGCGGGATTACCGTGCTAGCGCGCGGTCCCACACTCAACTACAATGGCGGCTCATATTATTTGTTATGCAAGGGAAATAACAATGTTTAATGCAAGTTTTGGCATGATTGTCTACCCGTAAAAAGTTTCTAAATATTAAAACAAAAAACAAAATACTTAAATAAAAACAACCACTTTAACTAAAATAACCCACAGAATGAACATGCATTTTTAAAATTGTATATCAATCTCTCAACACTGGCCTAATTAAAATAATGAAATGTATCATATTATATAGAGAAAAACAAATATATTTTAATTATATTTTATAAAGATGGAACAAGAATATTTAAATTATGTTTCTAAAAATGAAATAAAACATTTAAATTATGTTTCTAGAGACAAATAAAATTAAGATTTATGTAGCCTCGCGAAATTTAAAAAAACTAGCTAGGCCCCTAAACGGTATTTTCTTTTTAAATGTAGGTTAAGTCCATTTTTAATGCGAATAATAGAAATAATAATTCATACAGTGATTTATTCTTTTCGGATACAATTTTAATTAAAATTAAAATGTTTGGAAAAAAATTTTTAAAGAATAAATTCTTATGAGTATTATCTATTTTGTTTGGGGAAAAATTTCAGTCTTATAAAAGTAGGCATGGCATTATGTCAAATCAAGGTCTAGTGTCCTGTTTACAGGCTTGGCTCGCATACTGTATTAGTAGTGTTTACATTTATTTCCACAGAACAAGAATTCCACTCACCCTGTTCCTGCCATCACGCCCACCCCCCTCTCACCATATCCTGCCACCACGCCCACCCCCTCCTTCCCCCTCTCCCCCTGTACCTGCCATCACCCCCCCCCCCCTAATCACCCTCTCTTACCTCCGATGTGCACCTTCTCGTAAATTTGTCCCCCTCTCCCCCTGTACCTGCCATCACGCCCCCCCCCCTAATCACCCTCTCTTACCTCCGATGTGCACCTTCTCGTAAATTTGTCCCCCTCTCCCCCTGTACCTGCCATCACCCCCCCCCCCCAATCACCCCCTCTTACCTCCGATGTGCACCTTCTCGTAAATTTGTCCCATGATCCCCCTGTACCTACCATCACCCCCCCCCCCCCCCCAATCACCCCCTCTTACCTCCGATGTGCACCTTCTCGTAAATTTGTCCCATGATCCCCCTGTACCTACCATCACCCCCCCCCCCCCTAATCACCCCTCTTACCTCCGATGTGCACCTTCTCGTAAATTTGTCCCATGATCCCCCTGTACCTGCCATTACCCCCCCCCCCCCCTGTCACCCCCTCTTACCTCCGATGTGCACCTTCTCGTAAATTTGTCCCATGATCCCCAGTCAGCATTCAAACGTTTGACCTTGAAAGAAATGTTTTGACCTCACCAAATGTTTGTGTCTCTGACATGTTTATATCCCGTGGACACCAGACCTTACAGTCTTACGGTCATCACGTGACCAATATTTCATGTCACCTGTATTTAGTTAAACTGTTGAAATACCGTCATCATCATGTTATGTCGCACACTGATCAGATAATGCTCATGTCATATATCTAACCGATGACATTTGATGTCATGTTTTACGTCATGTCCAAATGTCAGGTGTGTAGAGGATCAATCGTGTCACGGCTGACGTCACAAAGTGAAATTGGGTCACGGAGAAGACGTGGCACCTGGAGATTCCCCCCACGTGACCAGAGCTGGGTGATTGGATGGTTTCCTAGCAACAGGCGTCTGCTGCCGGCTTAGATCGATATCTGCTGACAGCAGAACTTTTGTCAGGTGTGTGGTCAAGTTGGCGGGCTGGTACAACAGCCGGCACAGCTACACAAGAGCCGGCACAGCTGTACAACAGTCGGCACAGCTGTACAACAGCCGGCACAGCTACACAACAGCCGACATAGCTGTACAACAGCCGGCACAGCTACACAACAGCCGGCACGGCTACACAACAGCTGGCACAGCTACACAACAGCTGCACAACAGCCGGCACAACAGCCTGCACAGCTGTACAATAGCCGGCACAGTCGTACAACAGCTGCACAACAGCCGGCACAACAGCCGGCACAGCTACACAACAGCCAGCACAGCTGTACAACAGCCGGCACAGCTGTACAACAGCCGGCACAGCTGTACAACAGCCGGCACAACAGCCGGCACAGCTGTACAACAGCCGGCACAGCTGTACAACAGCCGGCACAGCTGCACAACAGCCGGCACAGCAGTAAAACAGCCGGCACAATATCCGGCACAGCTGTACAAAAGCCGGCACAGCTGTACAATATAGCCGGAAGAGTTTTAGCAAATAGCCGGCATTACAGAAAACGTGTCCGACAAGAGTTGAAACAAATGTTACAGAAAACAGAAAATTTGTTGTATCAGACAGTTGTAACAGAGAAAACAGAAAAAATTAGAAAAAAAAGCTGCAACAAACACTAGATCAATAATTAAAGACGAAACGAAGTTTGACTGGCTAATTCTAAGAAAGGAACGCTTCAATTTCATCGTGTTAATTTCACACACTTCCTGTTGGCCTTGGGCAAGGGGAGACAAGTCACTCATTATTAAAACAACAATTTCAATGGAAGCTAACAAGAGCAGGGTTTATGTTGCCAACAGGGAAAGTGGGGAGGGGGGGGGGGGTACAGCACTATGTTATAGTATAAATAGCGCCCCTACCCCACCCAATGATATACAGTTGCCCTCAAGAGTGGGGTGGAATGAAGGGGTTGAGTGGGGGGGGGGGGGGGGTGTCATAGACAGATGGTTCTCTTCTGCACCTCCAGAAAGCTAAATTAAGGTCATGTGACCAGAGATGAGAAATTTAACATGAGATTAGTTTGGTGATAAACAAGTGCATATAATAAATAATTCCAGCATCTCCTATTGGGCGCCTGATGTATTGGTCCCCTCCCCCTGTTTCTTGTGTCTAAACTTTTTAAAGATTTCGTTGTGTGCTGTTGTACTCATGTACTCATGTGTGGTGAACCTATAGGTTTGTACTGTTGTGTTGTGAACCTATAGGTTTGTACTGTTGTGTTGTGAACCTATAGGTTTGTACTGTTGTGTGGTGAACCTATAGGTTTGTACTGTTGTGTTGTGAACCTATAGGTTTGTACTGTTGTGTGGTGAACCTGTAGGTTTGTACAGTTGTGTGGTGAACCTGTAGGTTTGTACTGTTGTGTGGTGAACCTATAGGTTTGTACTGTTGTGTGGTGAACCTATAGGTTTGTACTGTTGTGTCGTGAACCTGTAGGTTTGTACTGTTGTGGTGTGAACCTATAGGTTTGTACTGTTGTGTGGTGAACCTGTAGGTTTGTACTGTTGTGGTGTGAACCTATAGGTTTGTACTGTTGTGGTGTGAACCTGTAGGTTTGTTCTGTTGTGTGGTGAACCTATAGGTTTGTACTGTTGTGTGGTGAACCTGTAGGTTTGTACTGTTGTGTGGTGAACCTGTAGGTTTGTACTGTTGTGTTGTGAACTTGTAGGTTTGTACTGTTGTGAACCTGTAGGTTTGTACTGTTGTGGTGTGAACCTGTAGGTTTGTACTGTTGTGTTGTGAACTTGTAGGTTTGTACTGTTGTGAACCTGTAGGTTTGTACTGTTGTGGTGTGAACCTATAGGTTTGTACTGTTGTGTGGTGAACCTATAGGTTTTGTTGTGTGGTGAACCTATAGGTTTGTACTGTTGTGTCGTGAACCTATAGGTTTTGTTGTGTGGTGAACCTATAGGTTTGTACTGTTGTGTCGTGAACCTATAGGTTTGTACTGTTGTGTCGTGAACCTATAGGTTTTGTTGTGTGGTGAACCTATAGGTTTGTACTGTTGTGTCGTGAACCTATAGGTTTGTACTGTTGTGTCGTGAACCTATAGGTTTTGTTGTGTGGTGAACCTATAGGTTTGTACTGTTGTGGTGTGAACCTATAGGTTTGTACTGTTGTGTGGTGAACCTATAGGTTTGTACTGTTGTGTGGTGAACCTATAGGTTTGTACTGTTGTGGTGTGAACCTATAGGTTTGTACTGTTGAGTGGTGAACCTATAGGTTTGTACTGTTGTGTCGTGAACCTGTAGGTTTGTACTGTTGTGGTGTGAACCTATAGGTTTGTACTGTTGTGTGGTGAACCTATAGGTTTGTACTGTTGTGTGGTGAACCTGTAGGTTTGTACTGTTGTGGTGTGAACCTGTAGGTTTGTACTGTTGTGGTGTGAACCTGTAGGTTTGTACTGTTGTGGTGTGAATTTATAGGTTTGTACTGTTGTGAACCTATAGGTTTGTACTGTTGTGTGGTGAACCTGTAGGTTTGTACTGTTGTGAACCTATAGGTTTGTACTGTTGTGTGGTGAACCTATAGGTTTGTACTGTTGTGTGGTGAACCTGTAGGTTTGTACTGTTGTGGTGTGAACCTGTAGGTTTGTACTGTTGTGGTGTGAACCTGTAGGTTTGTACTGTTGTGTGGTGAACCTATAGGTTTGTACTGTTGTGTGGTGAACCTGTAGGTTTGTACTGTTGTGGTGTGAACCTGTAGGTTTGTACTGTTGTGTGGTGAGCCTGTAGGTTTGTACTGTTGTGTGGTGAACCTACAGGTTTGTACTGTTATGTGGTGAACCTATAGGTTTGTCCTGTTGTGTCGTGAACCTGTAGGTTTGTACTGTTGTGTAGAGAACGTGAGTAGTTTTTGAATGAAAGACAAGAATATTTGCCCAGGGTGGGGTCAATCAGGTCACGAGGTTCAAGTATTTCTGGAACTATTCCAGCCCATCCCACAGGTAAGTACAACCCCTCCCCCCCACAGGTAAGCACACCCCCTCCCTCCCCCCACAGGTAAACACCCCCCTCCCTCCCCCCACATGTAATCGTGAACTTTTGTATAACCCACTGCTATTTTTAGAGCATCGAAACGAAAGTGAAACTGTTGTGGAGGGGGTGGGTGGGTGATGGAAGAAGGGGTACCGGAAATTCTTTGGTAACATCCGGCTTTGATTGGCTGAAATCAATAAGCCGCTGGCTCCATACAGCCGGATAGATCGATATCTTCACTCCGATTTGGTGCTAATACAGTAGGCTTTTACCTTGCGGGATCAGGTGGGTTTTTAACAAACAGCCGTAGTACTGTTGTTGGATTTCCCCCCCCCCCCCCATCCCCGCAATTATCAATTTCTTAACGTTCATATGAAACAACCCCGCCCCCCCCCCCCCTCGTTTCCCCACACATTCAGCCCGTCACACACAGCGTGCCCCACACCTTGTCTATTTTAAGCTCTAGCGTTGTATCGACTGTCTAAAGCGGCATTAATTATCAATCAGCTGCAAGTAATTAAGCGCCAGCAGCGTGATGCCAATCAAAGTTGGATCAATAATTCAACAGTTTTCACTTTGATTCATTCATCAATCACCAATCAATCATTCATCAATCACCAATCAATCATTCATCAATCATCAATCAATCATTCATCCGCCATTTGCCACAAACAGCACGTCAAGGACAAACCGCCACATGAGGACAGTGGGAACAATGGCTTCTAGTGAAATGAGCTCACGGAGCTAGCGAGAGCTAACACACGTAGCTAGGGAGAGCTTACACACGGAGCTAGGGAGAGCTAACACACGGAGCTAGGGAGAGCTAACACACGGAGCTAGGGAGAGCTAACACACGGAGCTAGGGAGAGCTAACACATGGAGCTAGGGAGAGCTAACACACGGAGCTAGGGAGAGCTAACACACGGAACTAGGGAGAGCTAACACACGGAGCTAGGGAGAGCTAACAGGGAGAGCTAACACACGGAGCTAGGGAGAGCTAACACATGGAGCTAGGGAGAGCTAACACACGGAGCTAGGGAGAGCTAACACACGGAGCTAGGGAGAGCTAACACACGGAGCTAGGGAGAGCTTACACACGGAGCTAGGGAGAGCTAACACACGGAGCTAGGGAGAGCTAACACACGGAGCTAAGGAGAGCTAACACACGGAGCTAGGGAGAGCTAACACACGAAGCTAAGGAGAGCTAACACACGGAGCTAGGGAGAGCTAACACACGGAGCTAGGGAGAGCTAACACACGGAGCTAGGGAGAGCTAACACACGGAGCTAGGGAGAGCTAACACACGGAGCTAGGGAGAGCTTACAAACGGAGCTAGGTAGAGCTAACACACGGAGCTAGGGAGAGCTTACACACGGAGCTAGGGAGAGCTAACACACGGAGCTAGGGAGAGCTAACACACGGAGCTAGGGAGAGCTAACACACGGAGCTAGGGAGAGCTTACAAACGGAGCTAGGTAGAGCTAACACACGGAGCTAGGGAGAGCTTACACACGGAGCTAGGGAGAGCTAACACACGGAGCTAGGGAGAGCTAACACACGGAGCTAGAGAGAGCTAACACACGGAGCTAGGGAGAGCTAACACACGGAGCTAGAGAGAGCTAACACACGGAGCTAGGGAGAGCTAACACACGGAGCTAGGGAGAGCTAACACACGGAGCTAGGGAGAGCTAA